TGACTTCCCTGGGCCTCAGTTTCCTCCTCTGTAAAATTTAGGGGTTGGCCTAGCTGGATGACCTTTGAGCTAGCAAGCAGTTGTTATTAGAGGGGCTGTAGGCAGTTACTTGTGTTTTCGTAGCCCAGGAAGGTAAGGATAGTCATTAAGGATGGGGCCCAACTCTGGCCCTGGACAAACCTGCAAGGAGGCAGAGGACCTACCTGGACGTCCTTTCCACCCTGGCCCCCATGTCCATCCACAGGGACCCAACTAGGCTTCTCATATTTTTTCATTTGCAAGATTACGGAGTTCTATCTTCTAAGGTTTCTGTGTGCACCGACATTCTAAGTTCTTGCTTCTTCTGACATTTTCTCTTCTATGGTCCCTCCCAGCACTGATAGTCCATGTTCTGAGGTCCCTCTCATCCCTGACTTTCTATGTTCCAAGGTCCCTTGGAGCTCTGGCATTCTAGATTCTAAGATTACTTCCAACTTGGACATTCTGTGTTCTAAGATCACTTTCAGTTTTTATATTCTCTGTTCTAAGGTCCCTACTAGTGATGAGATTCTGTTTTAAGGTCCTTCCCAGCTCAGATATTCTCTATTCTGAGAGCCCTTCCAGCCCTGGCATTATGTGTTCTAAGATCCCTCCCAACTCTGCCATTCCCTGTTATAGGTCCCTTCCCTGCTGACATTCTATTCCATTCTCCCTCCCTGCTTTGACATTCTACATTCCATACTCCCTCCCAGTTCCGTCAGTCCATGGTCTAAGATATCTTTTAGCACTGAAGTTCTCTGTTCTCAGGTCCTTCCCATCTCTGACATGCCAGGCTTCCAAGGCTCCTTCCAGCTCTGATATTCTCTATTTTATGTTCAAAGGTCCTTCCCAATGCGAACATTTTGTTGTTTCTTTGGTTCTATGGTAGCATGGCTGCCCCCTCCCTGGGAAGGATGCCCAGCCTCTCCCATCTGGGTAATGTTATTCTATGGCCTGTCAGGTTGGACAGCTCTGGTCTGTGAGATGAATTTGTAATGCCATTACTCCTGGTTCTCTCTGTGGTTACAAGAACAAAACACTAAGTAATGCAGCTCAGCATGTACCTGAGAAGTAGCTGCCTTTGATGGACTTGTCATTGCAAGTCTCTTTTTCTAACATAAACCTTGACAGGACATTCAAGTCACAAACAGTCTTCCCAGTCTGGCCCCTCAGAACTCCCCTGAATAGTCCTTTTCATCCAGAGAAAACCAGATTCCTGACTTTTGCCAGAACTCTGCCTGGGCTCTTGAACATTTATAAGTCTTTGTACGTCATGCCCTATCCTGGAACGCCTGTTCTTCCTCCTTTCTATCATCCTTCGAGGCCCTGACCACAAAACCACACAACTGGAGAATTGGAAAGCACCTCAGCAGCTTTCTAGTCCAGTCCTCTTACCAAAAGGAATCCCCACTCTAACATACCTGCCAAGTAGTCATCTAGCTCTTCTTGGATACTTCTAAGGAGAGGGAACATATCAGCCCTGGAGGCAACTTATCCATCACTTTGGGACCACTCTAACTGTTAGGAAGTTAATCCTGACTTGAAGTCTAAACATGCCTAATCCCTTCAACCAGCTGTCACATGGCATGGCCTAAAGGTCCTTCTCTTGGCTTTCTCTAGCTTAGCAATGTCCTTAAGCTGTGGCCTCCCAGAACTAAAGGAAGCTGTGCTCTGACTGGGGCAGCAGGCACTGGGACCATCACCTCCTCATTCCTGGAAGCAAATGTTTCATGCTAGCTTTCCTAGCTGTTCTCTCACACTATGGATTCATCCGAGTTACAGTACACTCAATGGCCCTTATCTTTTTCAAAGGGAAGCCTTCTTTGATCTCTCCCTCCTTAGACCTCCCAGGCACTGTACTCAAAGAGCCCTCATTGTTTCCATCTTTCTCAGTATTTAGGATGGAAAGCATTTCAAATCCAGCTGACAAACATTTGTTAAAATACCTACTGGGTGCACAACACTGTACTAGTCATGGAGGGAGATACAAAGTGGAGATACCTGACAGTTCCTACTTTAAGGAGCTCATAATCTAGTAGGGGGAGACAGGATAAAAGGACGAATGACTAGAGCACCCCATGTTACAACACGGGGGCCTTAAAGAGGTACAAAGTACTCTCTGGGGAAGGGTCGGGGGGGGGGCGTGTTACTGACAAGAGTTGTGATCAGGGAAGACTTCCTACAGGAAATAGCTTTCAACTAGATTTTCACGGAGGGGCAGGGATTCAGCAGGCAAAGGACAAGAGGACATGCTGTGGTCCAAAGGGGTGGAACAACAGGAGAAGTACTGAGTCTGGGGAATATCAAAGAGTCTAGTTTGACTAGGATGTAAATGGAGGAAAGTGATACGAGCTAATGCTGGAAAGGGAGGGTGGTACCAGATTATGGAGGGCCTTGAATGTTAGGCAGAGGAGATTGGACTTTCTCTGGAGTGGCAATAAGGAGTCATTGAAATTTCTGAGCAGGACACAAACCCAGAGGTCACAAAGAAACAAGATGAGGTGGGCAGTGTGAGAAGAGTGAATTAAAAAGAGAGGGTGGAGGCAGAAAGTGAGTAAACCCTTCTCTGACCAGTCCCCGGACCCTTTCACTGTCTTCTCCAATCTTTGTGGCTCCTCACTTATGTATGGGAGGTAGAGACAACAAGAGTGTGGGGGTGAAAAGAAAGAAGCCCCAGAGTTAGTGAGAGGACTTAGGATGACAGGCTTTATAGGTGGCCCAGATGGTAGAGGTCATCTATACCAGACGTGACAGACTCTCAGCCACTGAGAGTGAGAACAGAACCAGAATAAAATGTCATTGGGAAATATTTAACAAAATAAATAAAAAGACAATTTAACATAGCTTATGTTAAATGTGTGGTTTTCTAAGTTAATATGCTGTGCAGTTTCTATCTGAATTTGACATCACTGGTTTAGAACACTGCTTACATGACAGAGGAGGAAATCCAAGGCCCATCAACGTGGGGTGAAATATGGCAAAGCTAAGTCACTGAGCCAGGATCTGAAAAGCCAGGGCCTCTGGCTTCAAATTCAATGCCCTTTCCATTAGACCATGCTGCTGTTAAGAACATCAAGAAATGAAGACACTCAAGTGGAACACAGTCAAATTTCAGCTGGATCCCGAGAGCGAGCTCTAAAGCGACACATGCAAATTGTCTGTAAAGGCCCGTGCTATTTCCCGCTATTTCATATGCATAGTTAGGGCCCCTGGAGAAACTCCCAGAGATCCCAAAAGTTAGCTAGCAAGATTGGCCCCAACAGCTCAGTTTGCATTCAGAATCACAGAATTTGAGAATTGGACAATGGGACTTCAGTGGCTGCCTAATCCAAACCACATAGGAAAAGATTTCCACCATGACCCACTTGATAAGAGGCTGTCCAGCCTCTCCCGGAAGGCCTCCAAGGAAGGGGAGCCTACCATCTTTGGCAGAACTCAGTCCACTTGGGGACAATTTGAATTCTTACGAAGCTTCTTCTCTTGAGATTGAGTACCAGTTGCTCTTAGTTCTACTTTCCGGGGTCAACCAGAACAAACTAAACGCCCCCAAAATTGGTGTTCAGAACTAGACACAATGCTTCATGATCTGATGAGAGGGGTTGTCACCTCCTCATTCCTGGAAACTAAGGCTTCTCTTGATGCAGCCCAAGAACACATTAGCTTTTTTGGCTCCTACGTCATACCGTTGACTCAGATTGAGCTTGAGGTCCACTAAGACCCCCAGATCATTTACAGACCAGGTCCTAACTCACCACACGTCCCTCACCCTCTACTTATGCAGTTGATTTTGGAGCTCAAGTGAGACTTTCCTTTCTGTCCCTAGTGCATTTCATTGTATTAGCTTCACCCAATGCTCTGGCCTGTCAAGAGCCTTATGGATCCTGACTCTGAAATCTGGTGTGTTAGCTCTCCCTCCCAGCTGTGTGTCATCTGCCCATCTGATAAGCGTACCATCTGTGCCTTGATCTGAGTCATTAATAAGAATGTTAAATGGCATAAGGCTCAAGCACAGATCTCCAGGGCACTCTACTGGAGGCCTCTTACACGGCTGCCATCAGCATTAATGGATCAGCACATTTCAATACTGTCTAATCCAGAGGGATCATACTCTCTGCTTGCTAGTGCAGGGGAATTAGATTCAAATGTTATTGGGAAATGTCTAATAAAATAAGGAAAAATACAATACAACATAGATAATGTTAATTTGTAGTTTTCTAAGTCATTATGTGGCCTGCAGGAATCTGTTTCTATTTATTTGAATTTAACACCATTGGTTGAGTACACATCTTCTCCACATCTCCCATCTCCCCTCCATCCCCAGCAGGGGATGTGACTTGTCCAAGGCCACACTTGGATCTCAGACCTAAAGGCATCTAGTCCAAACATCTCATTTTTACAGGGTAGGAAAAAGACCAAGGAAAGGGAAGTGACTTGCCCAAGGTCATACATAGGATCTTAAATCTAGAGCTGGAAGGCACCTCAGAAGCCATCTTGTCTAATCTCCTCATTTTACAGAGGAGGAAACTGAGGCCCAGAGAGGGGAAGGAAACAGTAATAATCATCAGAGACAGGATTTGAATCTAGGCCCTCAGGCTCCAGGGTCAGTGCTCTTTCTGAGGTCCAACTCTGGAATTATACAATTCTATGACAAAAGATGACTCAGGATTTAGGGGACCTGGGTATGAATCTTGCTTCTCACACTTATTAGCTGTGTGACTCTGGGGAAGTCACTTTCTCTTTCTGTGTCTCAGTTTTCTCATTTCCAAAATGGGGATACACATAGGTCTAGAAATCAAAGTTATGATTATGAAGCAGCTTCTCTTTCTTCTTTAAAGAGCCCCATGACTATCCCTCATATGCCTCCTTATCTTCATCACTGCCCTTAGGCCACATCTCCATTGCATTTCTTCTTTTTTCTGTCTTTTTGGACAGGCTAGGCCTATTTCTGGGTCCAACCCCAATTATTTCTGGGAGGAACTTACCTCCCAGTCCAAGACTGAGGCCTGCCACTGGGCAATCTTGTCAATGTTCTCCAGCCGCCGCTTCCTCTCGTTGATCTGCTGGGTCACGTTCCTCATGACGGCGAGAGCTGCTGCAACATACCTGTAGTCACTGTGAAGACACAGGAGGGGGAGGGCCCATTAAATCATGTCCGGGAGGTGGGGGAAAAAGGAAAAGCACTGGATTTGGGATGCCGAGAGGGACCTCAGAACATAAAACATACAGTGTCAGAGCTGGAAGGAACCTGGAATCACAGAATGTCAGAGCTATAAGGGGCTTTAGATCACCCAACAATGGAGTTGCAAGGGACCTGAGAGCAAAGAAACTTAGAGCTGAAAGTGATACAGGGGTGGAGAACCTGTGGCCTTGAGGCCACATGTGGCCCTCTAGGTCCTCAAGTGCAGCCCTTCGAATCCAAACTTCACAGAACAAATCCCCTTCATAAAAGGATTTGTTCTGCAATCAAAAGGCTGCACCCAGGGACTTAGAAGGCCACATATAGCCTCGAGGCCACAGGTTCCCCACCCCTGTCTTAGAACACAGAATGCCAGAGGCATAAAGGGCCCTTAGAACATGGAATGTCAGAAGTGGGAGGGACCTTGGGACAGAGAATGTCAAAAGCTGTGAGGTACTTCATAGACCACCTAGTACAAGTCTCATTATCTTATGGATGAAGAAAGTGAGGCCAAGAGAAACTAAGGCAGTAGGTGGAAAGAAAGGTGGCACCCTTCCCACCTCTGTCTCCTGTTCGGGGGCCCTTTGAGACAAAGGAAGATGGGAATAGGCAACATGGAGACTGACTGGCCCCATTTCCCTTGCTGCCTGCCTATCTCTTCCAGAAAGTCTGAGGTGACTGTCCTCACCCAGCAGGGTACAGGGGGCTGTCTGCTGGCAGAGCCGTCAGCTGCATCAGCCGCCAACTTCGATGATAACTGTGGAAATCACAGACGCTGCAGGCAGGACTTTGGGGCAGTGTCAGTAAGAGTAACCTTCCAGTTCTGAGAACAGTGAAGGGGCCAACAGGCCTCTCCTGCTATTTCTCCTGGCAGGTGCAAGGGGGAAAGGGGAGGGCATCTCTCTCAACTGTTTTCATGCTGAAAATGGCCACAATCAAAGAAGCAGCAGCACGTAGTGAAAAGAGACCTGGACTTGAAATGGGAAAGCCTGGCTTCTAGCCCTGGATCCACCAGGAATGTGCTCAGCATGTACTTCTAAATACACGTGCTGTCTCCACTGATAGAAAGGAAGCTCCATGAGGGCAGGCCCTGTCTCACTTTGTCTTTTGACTCCCTGGTACAATGTCTGGCACTCATGAGCGAATGTGTGACTGTAGGTAAATTGTGTAACATCTTGGGGCCTCAAGTTTCCTCCTCAGTGAAATGAGGGGTTAGGCCTTAAGGGCCTCTGAACTCCCTCCAGCTCAGCGGGGTTCTGCTTTAGGCTCTCTCCTCCAGCTTGAATGTCTATAGGAGGCTGGCTCTAGAGTTGAAAAGGACCTTCAGAAACAACTCCTCCAAGGCCTTCATTTTCCCCAAGAGGAAACTGAGGTCCTAAGAGATTATGGCATTCACCAGAAGTTACCCAGCTAGTATGAAGCCTAGTACAGGGGAATTAGATTCAAATGTCATCAGGAAATGCTTAACAAAGTAAGCATAGATAATGTGACATAGATAATGTTAATTTGCGGTTTTCTAAGTCATCATGCAGCCCACAGGAATCTGTTTCTATTTGAGTTGGACACCACTGGTCTACTAACAGGAGCAGCCTCATGGCCAAGTAGGAGGGTTCTTTGGCTCGGTCTGAATCCATGAAAGGTACCACAGCATTTGGCCAGTTGGCTGATGTGAGGGCAACTCACGTGGACAGAGATACTCCCAAAAGGCAAGAAACTCTTCCCAACTGAGCTAGAAGGCAGACTAGATGAAGAACATTGGACCAGAAGAAAAACAGCAGAGACAACCCCCTGTACTCCCAGTGTGTCCCTGCCATCTCCCTCTGGACGTGTGAGGAGACACTGGGCCCCTATCCTGGCCAACTCTGACCTGGCGAAGACCCAAAGCCAGGGTGGGTAGCCATCCCCTTCCCTGGTGGGATGGCACAAGCCTCTAGGACCAGGTACCTTGGAGGACACTCAGAGCCTCCTGAACCTCTCTCTCTCTGTTCCTCCCATACCATGGTGGATCACAGAACAGTCCAGGGCTTGGAAACAGGACGCCTGAGTCCTAGACTCAGTTCTGCTGCTGACTCGCAGCGTAACCTTTTATACACTCATTTACACACTCAAGTTTCTTCAATTGTAAAATGAGGAAGTTAGATTAAAAGGCTTCTGATATCCCTTCTAGCTCTGACATCCTCTGTTCTAAGGGCCCTCTAAGCTCTAATGTTCTAGGTTTGATGGTCTTTCCCAGCTTTGACATCCTCGTTTTAAGGGCTCTCCTAATTCTACCATTCTATGCTCTAAGATCTCTTCCAGTCTTAACATTCTTTGTTCTAAGATCCCCCCCAGCTCTGATATTCTATGTTCTAAGGTTCTTCCCAGTCCTACCATTCCACGTTCTAAGGGGCCCTCTCAGCTTAGGCATACTTTGTTCTAAGGGCCTGTGTAGCCCTAACAGTCTATGTTCTAAGGTCCCTCTGACCTCATATATTCTATGTTTTAAGGTCCCACGTAGGTCTAACACTTAATGTTCTAGGACCTCTCCCAGCTCTGATATTCTATGTTCTGAGTTCCTCTCAGCTCTGAGATTCTATATTCTAAATTCTAAGGATCCTCCTAGCTCTGATATTCTCAGTTCTAATGGCCCTCTGAGCTCTGCCATTCTATGCTCTAAGGTCTCTGCCAGTCTCAACATTCTCTGTTCTGTGTTCTAAGATTTTAATTCTAATTCTGTGTTCTTCATGTTATAGGCAAAAAACATTTGCGAAGTTTGGCAGTCATATCTGCTGGCTCCTCTCTTGCCTCAGTGGGGTTAAAGGTGACTTTCAGAAGGCTATATCCAATGAGTGCAATCTCTGGTGGGCTCTCCTAGACTGGTACCATTTTGAGGAGTGCTCTGGCACAGACCAAGTCTGCTTCCTGAGGCTCAGTCCAGCTGTTGACATGCAAGCCTGTCTCCCTGGGATGGGGCATCGAATGAAGAGCCCATGAAACAAAAAGTTTGGTTCTGGTCTGCCCCCTTCTGCTTCTGTAGGGGCTTTATGGGAAGACACAGATGGGCAAAAGACAGGCTGAGCAGGCAAGGAAGGCCTGGGATCATTACATCTGGAGGAAGTTCTTACAGCCCCAGCAGCAAATTGAGTACTGAGCCACTGGGAGTTAAGAACTGATTGATAGGAAACTGAAGGCAGTCCCCAAGGGCTTTCTGGAGCCTGCTGCAGCTGGCTCCCAAAGTCTCAGCCACTCACTCTCCCACCACCCCAAGGTCAATGGCAAGGGAGGGCGTCCCTCCAGCATTCCTTCTTGCCAGATTCTCTTCCCTTCCCTAACACAGCCCATATGATGGGAATGAATGTCACCCCCACCCCAATCCACTGCCTCTACAATCCCTATAGCAACTGGAACATCTGGATTTTCTCAGAAGATCCTGGAACAAGGATACCTTGTGGGCGGCCAGAAGGAGTAGATGTGTTCTGAAGCCCTGGACTCTTCCCTGAGGTTCATACTGATTGGGGGGGGGGGGGGGGGGGAGGATACACCCCACATTCTCCCCCCAAAATTAGTTTCTAAATATGAACTGCTTCCTCCCCACCCACATGTTTTCCTCTACAGGTTGAAAAAAAAAATGGATAAAAATGTGTGACCATTAGGTGAGGAAATATAGGCTGGCTCCTTCTCTACCTTCTCCCTCCCTAGTTAATCCCTTTGCCCTGGGACCCAAGCTCAGTTCTATTTATCTCCACCACCAAGGTCCCATACACTCTCTGGGCCTTTTCTGTTCCTTATGCCTGACCTCACCTCTGGTTGGGAATAACTTCCTCCACTATGATAATGCTTGGTCTGCACCTCCAGCAGAGCTGACTGGGTTACTTACTTCAGTCACTGAATCCTCTGGTCTGACTTCGGTCCATCCATGCATCCATCCATCCATTGATCCATCCATCCACCCACCAGGACTCCAGAGCCCTAACCAGCACAGACACTTGGACCTAGCCAGCTGCCCTACTGTGCCCCCAGGCCTGAGCTCTATCCACTGTGTGACCTAGCTGCCCATACTTAAATCTGGGGTGGTTTCATATGCCTGGACTAGACTAATGCAAATTTGTGACCACACCCAGACTCATCAGTAGGGTTTGCAGCTAGAACTGGAAGTCTCAGACACGGAGTCCTGCTACAGGATAGTGGCTCACTGTCTTCCTCTGTCCAACGGAAGGCTTGTGCTGGGGCCAGACGACATCTAAGGTCTCGCCCGGGTTTCATAATCTTTGCTTCTCATGTGGTGTTTGTTAGTTCAGGCTGGGTGGGGCCAGCTGGGGCTGGGACTCTGCGGGCCAATGGAGCCTTGGAGGACCAGAGGGCCTCTCGAAGCCTCAAGCTGCTGTTGGAAGGTAGGAGTCCCCTCCTAAAAAAACCACATTTGTAGCAGCCCAGATCGAGAGATGGCCGGAGCACTGAAGGCCATGAGGTCCAACTCTGTCATTTTACAGATGAGAAAACTGAGGCCCAGGGAGGGAAAGGGACTTAAGCCAAGGTCATACAACCAGTATCTGAGGCAGGATTTGAACCCAGGTCTTTCTAACTTCAAGTTCAGTGTCCTAAGGAGGGTCATAGGATAGCAGATCCTAGATCAGAGTTGGAAGAGACCTCAGAGGCCAGCTAGGCCAACCCCCCTCATTTGACAGAGGAGAAAATTGAAGGGAAATATTTGCACCTAGGTGCTCTGACTGAAGAAGAGTGAGCTAGCTCTCTTTGGCTGGGCCTGTGCCAGTCCCTCAGGCAGGAGCCCAGGCCTGACCCTGACTAGCTCTTCTGCTGCACGGTTCTATAAACCTTTGCCTTTCAGACAGCTTCCACCATGAGTCATCATGGCCAACCTAGCCACCCAAGGGAAGGGAGTGACCAGCAGCCACTGCTGGGGCAGAGAGCAAGAGGTAAAAGCACTCAAGAGGCAGAAGGGAAAGAGAGGGAATTAGAGAGGGAGAGACAGAGAGAGAGAAGGGAGGGAGAGAGATGAGGAGAGGGAGACAGAGAGAGGAGACAGAGAAAGGGAGAGGAGGGAGGAAGAGACAGAAACAGAGAAACAGAGACAGAGTGAGAAAGATACAGAGACAGAAGGAAACAGAGACAGAGAGAATGATAAAAAGAGAGAGAGAGAGACCAAGACTAGAAAAGATGGTAACAACTTCAGTAGGACAAACTGAAGGAAAATCGAGAACTATCTGAAGCAGAACCCAACCAAACCAAAAAACCCTTCCAGGTGAAAAGATCTGCTAGAGTCTGTGGAAATGAGGCCATGCAAAGTCAGAGGCAGCTTTTAGGGCACCTTTGAGATGATCGAGCCCAAGCCTGTTCTTTTACTTATGGAGAAGCTGGAACCCAGAGCTGGCCAGAGACAGCTGGACAAGGCCATGCAACCAGAGAGAGGCAGACCCAGGGCGCTATCTCGGCTCCTTTGGCCCCAGGCCTAAGGTCTCTCCTCTACCGTGATGCCTCCTGAGTAGAAAGTGCCCCAGAGTAGGAGGCAGCAAATTCATTTCACATCTTCCATAAAAAGACAAGGCATGTGGTAGAGGAACACAGGTTCCTGGATGCCTTCAAGCTGGGGTCCGGAATGGGTGTGTTCAAGGGAGATATAAGCACCTCCAAATCCACTCATGAGCTCTCTGCTTGGGTGGGCGACATGGGAAGGCTGGGCCTCAGTGACCCGGTTCTATGCAGGGCATTCCAACATGGGGTCACAATGACAGCAGGATTCTGGAGGGCTGACACATGTCATGGGGCTGGGGCAGGCCAGGAGGAGCACAGGAGGGAAGAAGCAAAGAATTCCAGTTCCTTCATGTAAACCAAATCACAGAGGCCTTCAATGTCCAGTGCTGAAAGGCAGCCCAGAGGAAATCAGACAATGGGCCCAAACCAAGCCAGGCAGTGGGCCTAATGAGAATCAGACAGGAGGCTGAGGGGGGAGAGAAACACCTCCTTCCCCCTTGGCTTGTTTAGTCTGAGCTGATTAGCTCAGCTCAAAGTGGAATACAGTACTAACAAGGCCAAGGTCACAGACTTGATCCCATGTACTCAAAGAATGCCAGAGCTGGGAGGGGCCTTAAAATACACAAGAGCTAGAAAGGCTCTTGGAATGTCAGAGATGGAGGACCTTACAAGAGAGGTTGGGAGGGACTTTAGGACATAAAATATCTGACCTATGAGTAGAACAGGAAATGTCAGGATTGGGAGGGGCCTCAGAACAGGGAAGGTCAGAGCTGGGAGGGGCCTCAGAACAGGGAATGTCAGAGCTGGGAGGGCCCTCAGAACAGGGAATGTCAGAGCTGGGAGGGGCCTCAGAACAGGG